TGTTTATTGCTGCCAAAAAAAAAAGTTAAACACATTTGGACAGTGAAGGAATGTCAGGATTCTTGCTCAGAAAAAGGAGCTGATCAACATGCTCTGAAGTCAGAGCATGTTCCAGTCCACAAAAACTTTTTTGTAACAAAATATCGATTTCTGCTGTCCCTGTATCGATACATTATTAGCAAACAAAATATCACAATACTACACAGTATCGATTTTTTCCCCCACCCCTAATAAAAGAGCTGAAGTGAAGCCAAGTGTGTCCACTGCAGCCACTGTGTGTAATTTTCATACCTAATGTTTTTTATATTATATCTCTTTTTTTCCCTCACTTGTCCCATTCCTGTCAAATCCCGCCATTCTCTATTCTGGAACACTTGTCAACCAATCCGCTTTCAACCACTGCACAACATCATCAAAAACCAGCAATTTGCAGTTGGGATTTTGGGGGACTGCATGGGAGCAAGTTTTCATTGGGTGAAAAATCCTCCAAGTGCACTGGGACAATGGGGACATATATAGGCAAATGGCACTTTTCTACTCTTTAGAAATGGAAATCAGAAGACTTGTAGGACTCCACATAGTTTCAGCGTGGAGGAGAAGTTTCAGTCTGGAGAAGAAGTTTTGGTTGGTTTTTGGGTTTCATAGGTCAAGCACTTCCCGTCATCTGAATTTACATTATCTCTGAAACAATCTCCACCTTCCCAAATTTCCTAAACATTTACTGAAACTCGTCATCATCTCTTAGTCACAATCCATTAAATAAGGCAATAGTAGAACACTGACTGAACCTGTGGCACACCTGGATGAACCTGTATCTCTTTATCACTGCAACTATGTTACTAATTTATGCTCAGGTTGAACAGGCTGACTCAAATGAGATTGAAACTGGGTATGACACTGTTACTTTTTCTGTCTGTCTGTTTGTTTCTGTCATTAAATGAAAAAGTCACAACCTGAATATATCCAAAGACTATCAAGGGTTTCACTTGTCAGAATGCTTTTGAGACACTTCTATATATAAGATATATATGTTTTCTGTTACTAAAGTGGCAAAAATAAAATAAAAATGACAATTAGTACACCCTCAATTAAGGGACATACATACCAAAGTTTCAGGAAAACTTTGGTATGAGATCCTCACACTAATCTAACTAAGCTTAAAACATATTAAATTCAATTTTATTGAATTGCCAATTCACAATAAAAGTCACCTCAAGGTGCTTTACAGTGTAAACCCTACAATAATACAGAGGAAACCCCCAACAATCAGATGGCCTTCTGAGTAAGCACTTGGTGACAGTGGGAAGGAAAACCTCACTTTTAATAGAAAGAATTCTCCAGTAGAACTGGGCTCAGGGAGGGACAACTATCTGCCACACCTGGTTGGGGTGAGGGCGACAGTGCACTTCAGTAATGGATGTAATTACTGTATATTTGCACTGTATTGAAACATTGTCTTCAACTTATATAACTTATACAAATACCTCTTTATGCCTGTTTGAACAAACAGGATAAAATCAAATGTGCTGGTTTAAAACTAAAAGGTCAAACTGAAACATTAACTAATATAAAACTGTGAAGACAAGTTTCTGCTTTGTTGTTAACTGCATGTGCTAACTGCTGCCAAGTTGCTTTTGGTGCAAATAAAGGGTACTACAGGCAGTGTTACCCGAAAGTAACCCCAACCTTAAACCACTTCAAAAATCACACCCCCGAGGGAAACACATTCCAGGTTCAGCCCTCACTGAAGAAAAGCTTAGAAAGTTATCCGGGTTTGACAGAATGGCTGGCCTGCATCCAAGGATAACTCAACCGTTAAGCAGAGCAGCTCTGACCGGACATTTCAAAGTTTACAGATGAAATAGTCCTTAATGTTGTAATCCAGGCTAATTCTGGTGTAGGTTCTTCTTTCCAGTGGCACCACTTCTCTTATGACTTATGCACCAGTTATCACAGAAAGCCAGATCAAGATGTGAAATATAAAAAGTATGTTATATTAGTCTACAGTAACATTTTATCATGGTCATTTTCAGAATTTCTGATTAGTTTTTCTCATATCACTCACAGATACAAACCTCAATACATACTATATATCTGCAGGGGTACATCTAACCAAAAGAAGTTATTCTGTCTTATCTTTTTGTACTTGATTTTTCATCCCACAGAATAACAACTGATAATATTTATTCTCTGATAAGTCGTTCAAACAGATTGCAATGTCATTCTATAATAATAAAACCTTTTTTATGGGTTGATTTCTGTCCATCAGTGAGTAAAGTGTAGCAGTACTATAAAAATATTGTGACAAAGTAACAATGAAAGAATTTTAAATATCAGAGCATAATTAAATATATTTCAATACTCACATCACTTTTTAAAAAGATTGCAATGCATTAAGAACAACATGTAACAGTTTTCTTAGTAAGCAAACAAAACCAAGCACTTATTAAAAATATGTGTACACATAGTGTATTTGAGATCTCATAAGGGAGGAGATTAATATAGAACAAGCTTGTAACGGGTTAAAGTGACAAAAAATCCACTGAAAACCAAGAATTATGTCATCAGCCTTTGTCTCTCCCAAATAGTCTCTAACAGACTCGCAATGCTGTCGTGCTTACTTATAAACAAAGGCATTCAAAAGTCCATGTGGTCACTCCGCAAGCATCTCCACAGAGCAGTAACGAGATTTACCATGACAGCCACACTCAGCCATAACAAACCCAGTGGCTTTCACTGAATGCTTAAGTATGGCTGGCAATCAGCTGTGCACGACAGCATTACTGACTGCTATGTCCATGTAATTAAGAGTAATTCTACATATGTTGTAATGCCTAGATATCCTCAGTACCAACAAATAAAATTAAACTAAAACTTACCAGGCTTCTTCTCATTTATGAGTTTCATAATGGTGCAATATATCGTCTCACGGTGTGAACAAAATAATAATAACAACTGAAAAACGTTAAAAACTGTATCTCCGCAGAAAGTCTTAGTCAGTCCCGGAGATCAGAAAATACTTTGCTCGTTGAATAAAACGAGACTTTCACACATTCTCTGTTAAAACTTCCAACTTTACCCGGATGAACCTACTCCCATCATCAGAACATACTCGGTAAATAATGGGGCGGGACTGCTGCTCATTCGCCCTGACTCTTGTAGACAAGAGTCCAGTGCTTATTGGCTGCGGTAAACCAGGCCCATTTATCAGGAGCTTTTTCACCACCAGAAACCGACCAATCACAGCGTTCCAAATGCAACCTGAGGGTTCATTAAAAACAAAAGGGGGTCTCCCTGGCGACGGCAGGGCTTGAAGATTAGACAGAACAGTTCGAAACGCATTCTGATCGGACACCAGTGTGATCTGAAGCAGATAACAGTTATAATAAATTATTAATCGTTAACAATAAGGCAGAACTCGCGCTGAGTGACAGCGTTTCCATTCCTGTCATTGCAACACTGCACGATTGTGCAAACACCGGCCGGTTGGTATTGCATTTACCCGGCTCATGTTTGGCACAAATGACAGCAGATACAGAAAAATCATGTCAGAACGAAAAAAAATCAACTTACGGGGTCTGTGTTTTCGCACCGACTCGGTCCTCCTCCGTAGTCTGCACCTCTTGGCCGGGGACCCGTTGCACTCTGCATCATCCCCGCGGTGCAGATGATGCATGTTTTCAAATGTGCCGCTGCCGCTGGGTACGGTGCTTGAGCCGAATGCATTGCTGCTGCTGCTGCAACAGCTGCCGTTAGTGGCCACCATGACATGACTGTGAAAAACCTTCTGGCTCTGCCCATTGTTAACATGAAAGGGTCCCGAAGCTCCTTTCTTATCCACCATTGACTTGGCTTTATCCATGGCAGCAGCTACCCTAGCCTAACGTAGCTTAGCATCTGTGAGGGAAACAAAACGTAAGAGCCCCAGCCGCTAGCAGTGTCTATCCCGGCTACTTTAGCTTAGCCAGCTAATACTAGCCCGTCTTCCAACGTAATGAGGCAGTCTAGCGACCAGCTAGCGTCTAAACATAACGTATTTTAATCTAAAGTATGTGGCTAAATTGTGTCGTAAATTTTACTATAATGTCCGTAAAAACAAAACTGCGAACAGCCGCTAAAATACAGTGTTTCCCTTGAGGTCACTCGCGGTCATTTCCCTAAACTGAGATCCTGGCAGGCAGCAGCAGCCGGCGCGCGCGTGTGTGTCGGTGGACTGCTACGTCACATCAGCTCCTCCAGTCAAGGCCTGAACCTGTTCACCTCCTCTAACCGGTTTTCTCTGCTTTTTGCAGGAGATGCACCGCAATTCTTCGCTTTAACACAAAGACATGCAAGAATGGACTCATTCCCCGTCGCCTTCGATGCAACAATGAACTGCGGCCGCTCCCTGCTGGCTTACTCTTCACTAAAGTCTACAGTACCACTTCGTGCAGCGGTGGGCGCTTTAATTATAAGCGTCGCCGTTGGCCGTCATCCTCATTCCCCGCAGTCCTCTCCACGCGTGATGCGCGCACAAAGCTGCCAGTCAATATATCAGTCATGAAAATGAACTGTAGTGACCCTGAAGTTGCATGCAAAAAAACGCACATCCAACTGAAAAATCTGTCTTTTGAGCAGTGTTTTTGTTTGTTTGTTTTTTGCCGCAGAATAATTTAAAATCAGTATCTGATATTTTTTATTATTATGCCCCTCTTATAGTTCATTTCCCACAAACTTTATAAAAAATAATATATAATAAATAGCCAGAAAAAATAATTTACGTAAGACATTGGGGCAAAGAGAAAACAATGGACAGAACATTATATAATGAGCACGGTTCAGATAAGATACAAAGGTCAAACAGCAATATCAGCTTGAAAAAAGAAACTACAGACTAGAGCAACTAATACGGACGGCAAACCAGAAAGACGGTTTGTAAAGGTCTTAAAAGAAATGCATAAAATATCCCATTACAGACACATCACCACAAACTGATATCATTACGTGATAAATACAATGAAAGGTTTAAAATACATAAATAAAATATGCTACAATTGGACTCCCTATTATTTTAGAAGCCATACACAGAGCATTTAGAACAGTCTCAGTCACGTGTGTATATATTGATACAAGTTATAGCCAGTGTTGGGAAGGTTACTTTTAAAATGTATTCCATTACTGAATACAGAATACATGCCCCAAAATGTATTCTGTAACGTATTCCGTTACGTTACTCAATGAGAGTAACGTATTCTGAATACTTTGGATTACTTATTATATATGAGCATCATATATTATCATGCTTTTTACAACTACATGAATGTATGGAAGCGTAGAGCTGCCACCCAGGCAAAAGAAAAATACAAGTGTATCATGTTATAACATGAAAAGTTTATTGTTCTAACAAGATACTTTTCCTGTTTGTACAACATAATATCACGTTATTACAATATACATATTGTACGAAGAGATAATTATATTGTACGAACATGATAATTATGTATATTGTAATAACGTGATATTATGTTGTTCAAACGTGAAAGGTATATTGTACAAACATGATAGTATATTGTACAAACAGGAAAAGTATCTTGTTAGAACAATAAACTTTTCACGTTATAACGTGATACACTTGTATTTTTCTTTTGCCTGGGTGGCAGCTCTACGCTTCCGTATGAATGTACTATTGCTGTGTGATTTATTACTATTACTGACGGTCCACGGCTCCGAACCGTAGTAAAAGGACTTCTGGCTAATACG